AAATAGCTTGTTATTGGTTGCAAAGCCAATTTTTAACATCGAGGGTCGTGGAAAATTAAAAAACAAGGCCACATTACCTATATCTTTGAAAACCACATTACCAAACACTACTTGTACTCTTAATTTTTTTGTCAGACGGTATATTCAAGTTCATCTCGTTCAAATATGTTGTTGATATGTTCAAAGCCTGCTTCTCCCCTTTTTTAGTGTTTTTTGTATCCTTTTAATTTCTTTCAATAGCTTTCACATCGTTTTTAGAAACTGTGCTAAACACTTACTTGTTTCGTTTATTTTCAACACCGACTTTTAATGGCGTCCATATATACATATAATTACGGACAATCGTGTACAGTGGAGACTTATACATAATAAATATAATGTCTATTTGATTCAAAGTACTGTGAATTTTCCATACATTTTGAGTACTGGAGAAAAATCAGGGGCAGGAGAATCTGATTGGTCGGAAAATCCGAAATGTGTTGTTTCAGATGCTAACTATGATAACCGTGAACTTTGGGAGATTAACTGAATTTTAAAAACATACTACCTAGCGTTTTGAGTGAAGAATTTCATGTAGTACAATATCCTTGGAACATCATTTTTAGTTGATTAATTAAATCTTCCAATGTAATTTTGACATTGCAAGACTTTTACGACAACTGTAAATATCAACAAAATTTTATCACAGCTATCACCAGACATTAGCCGTCTATAACTAGAAAAAAATTCAATTTGTGTTGTGTACTCCCAAGTGTCATAGATATTTTCCCATAAGAATGAACAAGAAAAACGTTTTTGCAAAAGGTTTTCCAAAACTTAAGCTACTTACGCTAACCATTGCCTAAGTTTTCAAAACGATTTGCATAATATCAGTCAATAAAGCCAGTTCTTCTGTCCATAAATTTGACGAAACATGAAATTCATTGGATAAAAAAGATACAATGTAGAGGCTAGTAAAAGACTCTAACGTAAGTGCAACTTTTGTTTAACTTTACAGAGTGTCATCTCTTTTATATTGCTGCGCGGCATTAAAAAACATAAACATACTTTTTTACAATACTCTATGTTCTCATTTTACAACACCTGGAATCTCGTCTCTTGTGATTAAACTTATATCCCGCGAATCCGCCGTATCTTCTACTACCCTGTTGCACTAAGCAAATACAGTTACTTCATCAGCCATTTAATCTCATCATATGTATATATACATAGTATATTTGTAATTTCAATTTAAAATTTAATTGCAAATTGCTACTTTGAGTGACTATTTAGAGATTGACTATCATAAGCAAAGCAGAACCAAAAGAACCAAATATCAAAATATGACAGCAATATACTGCTTTGCAATGCATTAATCACTTTATAACATGAATATTTTTCTTATATTAAACTATATATGTAAAAATAGCTAATGTTTAACTTCACAATAGTTGTCATCTTAAACTTATCATTTTTTTTAGCAATAAGAGGCCTTCACTTGTAATAGATAATTTTGAAGCGGATCTATTTTAAATACATAGCTATTGGGAAGTTTACTCAGCTAAGCATGCTAGCAAAGCGAACTATGACTAGCTGATAGAATGGCTTTTTTGTCAAGGGTTAGTTTTTGACTATGAAGCAATTATTGGATGAGGCTGAGTATGATATCAAAAACTATTCAGACCAAGGTCAACGTTATCTACCGAAGCGAGTCATGCAAAAATTGAGTTCGATAATTTTTTTATTATCAACTTCAACTATCTGAAGTATTATCAAAACATGTCAATATAACAATTTTTTCAAACTTTCGTTAATTTTTTTGTCAGACGGTATATTCAAGTTCATCTCGTTCAAATATGTTGTTGATATGTTCAAAGCCTGCTTCTCCCCTTTTTTAGTGTTTTTCGCATCCTTTTAATTTCTTTCAAGAGCTTTCACATCGTTTTTAGAAACTGTGCTAAACACTTACTTGTTTCGTTTATTTTCAACACCGACTTTTAATGGCGTCCATAATTGTAGAAACTATTATTCGTAGATATGACGTCATAATTGCAGATATCAAAAATTATCTGTATGTAGTTGACCAATCACAGTTGACATTGCTTACATCGTGAATAATAAAAATTATTATTGCTTCAAGAATGGAAAAACTTAATAAAATTGGGGAAGGATTAAATGAAAAATACTCTTGGCATTTAATTACATGAGTGCAATGTGTAATGGTTGACAGTTACTTTGGCTTAAAAGCCTGGCGTCTGTATGACGTAATTGGAAATTAATTATACTTATGTAGTCCCAAACTGTACAACGTAGCTGATCAACAAACTCTTCAAAACTACCTTTTTTAGACTGAAAATATCCTCCTTAACGAGCTATAATATTTATTGTTAGAATTCTTAATCATGAGAAATGTTAGTCATGATGAGTGGGACATTTAGCTAAACCACTGAATTTCATAAGAGGTTACTTGCTCTTTGTGACTATGAATATTATTTAATATGGCCGCTTGAGATAGAATTTAATCTTAATTTATTGCACAAAGCAATATATGTAATCATATCATTTGCATTTAAATTAAAAAGAAGTGTAAATCTATTTTCATTCTTTCGTTGTAATCTATCAACCAAAACTACCTATTAAATGTCAATCGACTGGAATAAAAATTAATGTCATCAAAACAATTCGAAATTTTCTTTGCGTAGATGCAAATCTCTTTTTAATCACTAGTTTCATGTACATCATTCAAGAAATTTAATATGGGGACTAGTTTTTGATTTTACGTTGTGCGTATTCAAATTTATGTGACAATGAACTTCACAGATTTATCAAAAGCCAATGCTAAATTAATATAATATGTAAAACTTATTTTTCATGATCACTACGCAGGATAGCTTTTATGAAAGTGAATCTCATGTAATTCTTCTAACAAAAACAAAATTCTCATGCAAGCTTTGCTTTCAAAACATCAAAACTTTATAAAACAGCTTTAGCATTTCTCTATTGCTAAGATATAACAGTTTTTGTTTCAGCATTACTAATTTTTGTGCTTGTCAATTATCTCCGTCACTTTCCTTGTTACTGTCATCATCGCTTCATCATCATCTTCATTGTCATCATCATCTTCATGGTCATCCTTACTTTCATTGTCATCCTTATCTTCATTGTCATCCTTATCTTCATTGTCATCCTTATCTTCATTGTCATCCTTATCTTCGTCATCATCTTCGTCTTGATAAAAAAGAGAAGATATAAATCCAATACAATTTTGTAAATTTTTCTAAAGAAGACTTTACCCACCACGATGGTTTTAATTATATAAAGGTGTAATTTAGTTAGTGAATTTTTACAAAGTTTTTTGAAGACTTGTGATAACTTTCTAACAAAAATATTCTCGTGATCAACCAAAAACAATCATTTTTATCTGATTTTTTTTTTAGTTGGTTCACCACCTTTGTTCTTGTACAACTCCTTCAACAAACAGTAGTGGATCCAAAGTATGTCGGAATACATTACTGGAAATGTAATGTCAGTTTGAACGATTTAGAGGAAATCTAAAATCAGCTTTACTCATAAATACGTTCTTTTTTCCGACCAAAAGCTTTGAAAAAAATTTTAAATAAGATTTTAGAATTTATTTTGACCTACCCTACATCCGCCAACTTTTAAAAAGAAAATTGTGCATATAAATAAAAGCTCCATATAAATAAAAAAAAATAATTCAACTACTGAAAAAGAGACTTTGTCGTGGTGACAAACTTAAAGACGGATTTCAAAATAGCAAATACCGTGGTGAATGTTAATAATAACAATGCAATAGTTCTTAAAAGAACTGTTTTAACCAGAACACTAACCCAACAATTCAAAGGAACCGTTATTTACAGCTAGAAAGAGACACTATGCATTTATATAATATATAAGGACTTTATTTGAAGAGGGGGACACGTAACAGCTGAAAAGCTGACAAACCTGTGGCCCTCTAACTAGATTATACAGGATTACAAAAAAACTGATAATGAATAAATATATAAATAATTACAAAATTCTATGATAAAAATAGCTGGACTTTTTAAAAATATTCAGAAAGATAAAATTAATTTATAAAAAATTAAAATTAAAATTAAGTAGTGTACTATTGCTTAATATTGTTTCAAAGTTGTCCAGGTTTTTATATGAGCTTGTACAATGCTTTTTCACAGCTGTTTTGAATAGATTTATACTAGGCATTTTTTTGATATCATGGGGAAGGCTGTTCCATAACTTAACTGCGTTAACACTGAATTTCGGCAGACTACTTCTCAGGTGTCAACGTCTGCTAACTGAGAACCTCCAAATCATGCTATATTTATAATGTTACAAAAGGTCAATGTCATCCCTATTTTTAAAGACGACATTTAAAACAGAGACAGATTAAACACGTGATCCTTTTGTCAGCAAAGGACAGGATTAGTCAATTTAATTAATAACGACTCCATGACGCGTAGCTGAAATAACGAGCGACATTTTTTAATAATTTTAAAGTTTTCATCAGAATAAACATTGGCACAGCGAGTGTTGCTTAAAAGATGTTTTCCAGTCACTGAATCACATAGAATCGGATTTTCACTTTTACACCCACGTTTTGGTAGTTGTCGTAAAGGAACAGTTTTATTCCTGACCGAAGCTGGTACATGCTGTTTTATTCTTTCACTCAACCTTTGAGAAGTCCTACCTACATAGCGAGCATCACACTCACATTTAAACTCGTAGACTACATTGCTTGATATTTGAGCAGGGAGAGACTCCTTGGGATTGGGTGGAAGAATAGTTCTTTTTGAGAATATAAAGAGCACATTGCATGCAAAAAACAAACTCTCGGTGATATTTTTAGTTTCCCTCTCGATGTCATTAGAGGCCTTACCCATCCAGGGAAGTTTAAGGGAAGTCATTCCATGTTACCTCGCCTTCTAATTGCTCAACATGATATGAAAAGGGAAAATATCACGGTTTAGAAGACAGAAAGAGCAGAAAATTTTGCTTTGTTAATCTTACTGAAAAGCTTGCTGTGTTGCCATCCTCTGCAAAGAAATCATTTAAAAATGTGAAGCAATTCAATTAACATGCTAAGTAATTACATGTATCAATTTTTTTTCATGATTAGAAGAATGACAAATGAATTTTATTTGGTAGACAAACGATTAAACTTAACAGCAAATGCCCTTATTGTCATTACTGTCTCAACTTTGTGATATTTTTACCTAATAAACAGTTTGGCTGTTGTAATTATAGTTAAAATATTAAAACAAAACCATAACCGAGTGAAGGAACTGTGTCCATTGTAATAAATATGTCAAAATCCACGCTTTTAGAATAAAAAGAATGTATGCAAAAATTATAAAAGTTAATTGAGATTTGGTGAAACAGTTAGTTTGACGTCTATTGCTGTTTGACCCAGAAGTAGCTAAAAGGCAATGAGATGAAACTTTATGAAGAAATAGGCTTGTCAAACACGTACGCTGTTACAAGGAGATATGGAAATTACGTGAAATATGTCAAAACAGCTTACCAATGAGAGGTTCGCATTCATTGCAAATATTTTTCTCAGATACAATAGGAACACTTGAAACAATTGAATATCCAGCAATGACAAAAACTATTTCAATGAACATGATCTTCAAATAGGCTGGCATCTTCTACATGAATAAAAATCGCACTTAACAGCTGTTTATTAAGATATTTGTGTTGAATTTTCGTAAGAAAAACAACCCAGAAAACAGTGAGAGTATAAACAAGTAAACTTTTTCAGTGTAAGTATTAAAAGTATATAAAGTTATGGTAAATTTGCTTTGATATTTAGCTTTTCACAACAGCTTTTGACATTTTTACGCAAAACTTGTACGTCTTCAACTGTTGATAGGCAATAAACTCAATTAAAAAGACTGAAGTGAGAAATACAAATACAAAAACAAAGATACACTTTCAAAAATGAAATATAAAATTCTTACCAAATATTTTGTTTAAGATTGTTAAATTATGTCACTTGCAGAGTATGCATCGAAGAATTCACTCACCAACAATTGAAATATCCTAAATCATTATGGCTGATATCAATAAGAACAATATTCATGGAAGATATATTAGTCGTTGCTCATAGATACCAACTTCTCAACGACATATAATACAAAATAAAACAAATTCCGAATACGGACATCCGTTTTTTTATATTCAAGATGATACAAGAGTTTAGACACACACTATGTGTCTCAACTCTTTTGTTATCTTTATTATCAAGAAAACAGGATGTCTTATAGTGGGAACTTTTATATTTTGTATTATTTAAAAGTCTCGGCGATATATTGTTTGATTACGAAATGATATATGAGACTGTTCAAAGCTATATGCACTTAATAAGTGTATATATTGGCAATTTACTGTTGCGATAAATGAGCGGAAACATAAAAGAGCAAACTATATAATATCGTGAGTTAAGTTACACAAACGTAGACATTAACTTTATATCCAATTTTTGCTAATACCTCATATAATTCATAGTGACACATGATATAACTTGCTAAAAAAGGATTCCATAGTATAGGAGTACATTTTTAAATTGTAGCTACATGGAGCGTTCTTCAAAATGTTGAAAATTCGTGTCTTTAGATACAAAGACATATTGAAAGAATTAGAATTTATGTTCTGGCTCTTTGTTATAAATTCGAGAAACGTACGGTGCCCATAAAAACGGATATCGTGACGAGAATATCTCGTCTCGAGTCAATATATGCAGTTTATAAAAAAATTGTGTCGTCTTTAATCCACGAGGGCTTGTAACTTAGAGCATGCATGGTAACGAAGTACTATGCCAAAGGTGTGCGCCAAATCTTTTTTAAGCCACATTTTTTCATATAACCTTTACGAAATTCATATTCTGCTCCTCTCACAAAGGCTTTTGAATAGTATTTGTGTGATATTCATATAATGAGTCTCATATTCATGAGATATATTATTCTCGCATGCAGATAAAAATTGATCTATATAGGCTGTTGCTTACTTTGGTACAATGAAAGACTTCGGTAGTTCGCAAACAATCCAGCCATTTTCACGTCCTTGGGGTTTAGATTCCAAAAGTAAGGCAACTTGAAAGTGTAAGTTTTGACACACAAGTAATGGGTTCGAGCTGTCTGTTCCTTAGTATATTTATGCTTTAAGATTGCGTTTTCTTTCGTGTCATCACTACGTTTTTCATGCTTTCAGGCTTCTACTTTAATAAATGTGCGACGTTTGGGAACTTTTATTCAGACTCAGAGCTGTCCATAGAACGTTAATTGGAGGGGTGCTTTATTCATGTATTCAATTGTGCCCGAATGATTGTCTTTTGAAAGCAATTCACTTAAGGATTAAGCAATTTACTGTCAAAAGAAATCAGTTGGGCAAAACTGTATATATGAATAAACACTCATCCCCAATTAACGTTCTCGTGACCGCCATGCTTCTTATATACAACATTTGCTATATAGATATAAAGTTGATAACAAGATTTTTATTTAAATTTTTTGAATTAAGTTGAGGCGGCATGCAAAATTAATATGAATTTACGTCAAACGGAAGAATTAGTGATTGCTTTGATTATTTTATCTTAGCAATTTATTGCTTTAATTCAACCCCACTTGATGTTAATCTTTAAATACACTGACAAAGAAATTTCAATTCAAACTAGCTTGATTTAATGGTGAATTATTCGTTCTAGAATATTCTCCACGTTGTTGTTCTTCCTACATAAAACAAAAAGCCTTTCTTTACGACACTATACGATTCCGTGTGCTCTTATATTGTTCTATAAAGATAATTACAAGCACAATGTTATTGTTGTCAATGTAGAGACGTCATGCGTAAAGTCTTTTTGGTATTTCATCAGTTTTAATGGTCGATTGTTTAGCTAAGTGATCATTGTGGTTTGCGTTTTTAACTTTGATAGCAAACTTGGAGTATTTACCCACTACTAGAAAGGTTTTCATTACGGAATAAAAATACGTGTATTTTTAACCGTTTATTTATGATTATTTTTTCTTAATAGCAAAATTAGCGGAACATACTTTGTTTTGTTTATCGCCCGTCATATAGTAGTGCTATACGTAGCTGTACGTGTGTATGAGCTATTATGCATTTGGAAAAACGTGCACAAAGACCCCAAATGTATACCTTGAGTTTATAAACTCTGAAACCAATCGTACATGTAGAATATTGTTGAGACAGGCTGACATTTTCTTATAATTTATCTTTATTGGCAAAGAAAATCTATATGGAGCTATAATTACAAGAAGAATTTTAGTTTTCATACAAGTTTTATTCATAAGACATGATTCTTTGTCAAAAGGAAACAACTAACGTACATGAATACTGTAATTTCGAGTAAGTTGCTTTCGTTTTTTTAATATATATTTCAAAATGTGGGAAATTAAGTGTGATAAAAACGTATCGAGGACTACAATGAAAAATGTGAGAAATTTTTAAAACAATATAACTAAGATATGCATAGCCATCAGTTAATTCAGCCAGCTTGTCAAAACAATTCCATAATTTTGAGTAAAGAATCACTGCCAATGATAACTTATAAGGATTCCAAATTCCATTCGTTGTGGTACTACGCCTAAACGCCTACATGCATTCGTACCAGCCCACTTATCCACCAATCTACTTGCTTACCTATATACATACATGCAAGATGTAATGCTTTCACAAGAATTCTTGCCAGTAATTGCACCGACGGAAACTGTGAAATGTTTTGTCATTTTCACTCTGCATTTTTTGTCAGTGAAAATGTGTAACAAAATTCAAAGTAAAAGTTTTGAGTTAATTGTAACATAATTTAGACTCACTTATTTGTTATATTTACTATGGATTAACAAGCAAGCGCACAGACAAATCTTTGTCATCAGATTGTCCAACAATAATTGTAGCGAAATTTTCATCAATTATCGACAAATTTTGCAAGTGTCAATATTTCTCTTAAAGAAATGTAGCCCTGGAAACGATCTAAGATGAACCAAAGAGTTTTCATTATTTGAGCTTGTAAGCACTAGCTATAGCTACATATGTCACAAAAAGGACTAACATTTGACATCCTGGATAAATATATCTTTAATACCTTAGAGTATGATCTTTTGCCAATGAAATGCTTAAAGAAAGCTTAAGGAGTGATTCATTACTCTGAAAATAAATTTTAATCCCTCAGCATGCAATCATCATACAATAAATTGTTCTTAAGAAACTCTTTTTGTAACACAGTTTCTTTCTTGTTAAATAACGCGCGCCACTACAGATGAAAAATGGCAAAATAAAGTATAAATAGTAGAATAGAGTTTTTGAATAGACTTAAGCAAAGTGATATTTTCAGTTCAAGCGTTCAAGCAAAGAAGCTTACATGCAGCAGGCAGTATAGCGGATGCAGTATTCGTCAAAATAAATAATAGCTGCTTAATTTTAAATCTAAGGTACTTTCAGAAAAATACTAAATGTTTTGAATTTTAAAATATAATTTTACCAATGGAATTTTCTCGAATGGGCTTAAAAATGTTAATATATTATTGCAAACTGGGCAGTAGTAATTTATTTTGACGTAACCTAGATCCGCCACTGGACCAACCGGGTACTACTCTCCGTTTTAGGTTTTGATGAGCATTCTGCACGGGACTATATGCTCTTGAGGTACACTGCCTATAAGGTTTGCTGAATAGATATAAGACATACTGCTTGTATCAATCATTTAGTTGAGTTATCTCCAGAATTTATTACGTTATACTGAAGACAGAAAGGTCTTTGTGTGACAGGAATGCACTTGTACTTGAATATTGTAAAATTTCTTGTTACAATCTTAAAGGGCCTATCAAACAATACTGCTCCCCCAAACACTTAGGTTATAATCGCATTCATAAAATAATCTTTTGTATAATACCATAAACGTAGCTAAATAGGTCATTATGTCAGGAATACTGCTCATATATTGCCTTCCAGTAGACAGTTCAAATATCTATATCTAACATGTATATAAATGAAAAAGTCAAATTTAGACGTTTTCAGACTAGTTGCCAAGAATTTTTGTATAAACGAACCTTTGGTTTTCAAAAAATTCATTTCTCTTTATTTCGAAAAATAGTCACCTAAGAAGAAGACCTTATTCAACTTGTGTGGAGTGCTTATATGTACACAAAGACCCTTTATTCTTATAAACATCAAAAAACGAGGGAGGCCATTTTTTACCGAGATGATTGTTCAGAATGTACTGTCCAGTACACCTCATTTAAAAGCACAAAACAAAATGTTAATTAAATTGTAAACTTTTAATTCTTTGATGTTCTACTCGGCTATTAGTGTACTGTATTCGTAAACTGAATAACGTTGTTTCCATAATCCAACTCCTCGTTCTTAAGCAAAAATAGCGTTATATGGCCAAAAAGAAAACTGTCTCAGTCGTTTACAAAGAGTTTCTAATAAACACTTTATTTGAAAACTAGGTACTCTCATAGTTCTGGAGCTTGTTCAGCACGTGTTCTTCATATTTTATACAACAGCGATGCTTTCACAGTTTTATTTTCAGTTGTTAAAAATTTCGTTTTCAAAATCCTAAATTTTTTTTCACTTTAGGTGTTCAGTCATCTTAATGACGACTTGACTGTTATTTAGTACAGCCACACCACGCAATGAAACGTGCAGAAAACTCTTTTTTTCGTAAAAAATCTAGAATCATAAACACTTCCTTGGACTGTAGTTACTAAGAAACATAATACTCTAACTAAGAAGTTCATTGTTAAGTGTTTGAATTGTTTGACAAAAAAAATTGATCTTTATGGTCATCATTAATTGATCATCAAAATTTATCATCATTGAATGCCAATGTTAAATACCAATTTACTCTTGTAAAATCTGCTGTTTCATAGGAAACAGAACAGGTAGTACAACTATGCCTCTTATTTGACATAAGTTAATAACGCCATTTCCTCTAGTGGGAGAACCTTCGCCAGTTCCAATTGTTATGCTCTCAAGCCCATTCATATAATGATATCCCACATACTTTATAACGAAAACATAAAAATGCAATACATTGCGT